ACAAGAGCAAAGGGCAGGTGGTACTCGCCACGGCGATCGAGATCTGCGTCTGAGCCGCCCCGCGCCCTCGGGCCGGAGCGCCGTGCAGCAGCCAGGCGGGGCCAGGACGCCGCCCTGGGCCGCTCCAGGAGCCTGCTCCGGCGGCTCCGGCGGGATACCGATCGAGCCGCCGCCTCTGCGGCGGGAGGGGGAGTCGTAGACTAGGTAGGACCGCGGGCCCGCCAGTCCAGAGGCCGCGGGCTGCAGTGGGCCGGTGAGATCGTCACCAAAAGACCTCTTGCCCGGCCTGGCGGGCAGGGTCTTGGCCCAGAGGAGCCGAGACCCACAGGCCCGAGGATTCGGAGCCCGCTATATACACCAGGAGCAAGGGAGTTTGTGGGCATGGACTCCCCGACACCTCCCCGAACCCTAGGAACCTGACTAGTTAACACCTGACCCTTCGTACCCCCTAGGTCAATCACGCTGCAGACCCACCCCAAGTCCTGCCCTCGTGGCCTCACCCCACCCTGCCCCCTCCCCACCCTGGGCACAGAAAGGGACTCAAGCTTTGGGCAGAGAGAGAAGGACTTAGGGCCCCTGGCGCACTGGCTGGGACAGGGCAACAAGCTGAGGGCAAGGGATTGTTTAGCCTGTCCTACCCCTTTCCTGGGAGGCTGGAGAGGAGAGCCAAGCCCCCTGCAAAATGTAGCAAATGTCTGGATGTCCACATAAGTGTGTGTGTGTGTGTGTGTGTGTGTATGTGTGTGCGCGTGTGCAGGCACAGGCCCTGAATCTAGTGACAAGCCCACCCCTATCCAACTGATGAGGACACATGAAGGAGGGCAGCTGGCCTTGGGCCACACAGCCTCTGTGAGGTGGAGCGCTGTAGACCCCTCCCCCCCCCACTATCCAGCAATTCCGTGGACAGAACAGCTCCGGGACAGGGGCCTCAGCTGCTCCTGCATCCCCAGGGCAGGGGAGTGAGTGCAGAGCCGAGGGCGGGCCCAGCTCCCCCAGCCCACTGCACCTTCCCCAGGCCCAGGGCTCTCCCAGATCCTCTTAGCCCCTCAGCCCTCACTGCCCCCTCTTAGACACAGTGGCCTGGGCTTCTAGCAGGCAGCGAGGTGATTTGTGCCAGGAATTTCTCCTGGGGTCCTAGTTGGGGTCAAACATGTCATTCTCCGATACTGGGGCTGACCCTGCCCATCCCCCATCCCCACATCTCCCAAATTCCTGGTACTGAGTGTGCGGGGCTGGGGGGTGGGGGGGGAGCTGCCTCTGTGGTGTGAGTAGGGGCTATGGAAATGTGAGTTGGAGTGCTGTGTGTGGATAGGTGTGTGTGTAGCATGAGCGTGCGGAGGGCACAGATGTGTGGGTGCACGCTGTGTGTGTGTAAGTGCTTGTGCATCCAGACGCCTCAGTAACCCTGCCCCGCCCCCGATTTCTCAGCAGGCAGCTGCCAGAAGGGCACCCAGGCCTGCGTTTCACCACACCCCTCAGGGAATCCAGTATGGAGGCACCTGCAGGTTGGTTCAGGCCCCTAGGCAGCATCCTGCACCCTTACGACCCCCTGCCCTCTGTGGATGCCTGGGACCCCGCAATAACCTCAACACGGGTGAGGCTGTGCCCTCGCTCGGCAGTGCCCCCACCCCCCACCATCCTGGGCCATCCCTGCCAGGGTCTCCCCTGGGGTTCTGGGGCACTTAGGGGGGGCTCCTTGATGGGCCAGGCTGGCTAGAGGGGGCACCACCCACCCTCAGGCTTGGATCCCCATCTCTCCATTCACCTCTCATTCCCACCGCGCAAAAGGGCTATAGGTCCCCCTGCCCTGCCCGGGTCCAGTTTACAAACAGTGTGCGGTTGCCCCAGGGCCTGCACCCTCTCTCCTGTAGTGTGCCCGCCCCTTTTGAGACCCCCCCCAGCCGGCATTGGGGCCCTCCACACACCAGGTAAGTAGCAAACCCCCTCCTGCCACGGGCTAGTTCTCAGAGAAGGCCCCCCATCACTGCCCCAGCCCACCTGGAGCCCATTCGGGCCCACTTCTCCCAGCCTCGACTTCTCCTTTTGCCTTAGGGCTCTCGACATCCTGATCTCTCCTGCAATAACAAGGACGCGAGATTCCACAGTAGACATCTCTTGCCGTGTGCCCTCTCTCTCTCTGTTAAGATCCTGTTTGGGAGCGTTCTCCCTTGTCGTAGTATCTAGGATGTTAGAGCTGGGAGGGGATGGTAGTTAGGTAGCCCAGCCCCCCCTCTTTAGAGGCCCAGAGATGGGCAGCAGCCAGCCTGGCGGCAGAGGCTAGACAGGGACCTGGACTGCCCCTCCCAGTCGGGCCTCTTCCCCACGGCTGCCTCCTACTGGTCGGGTTGGGGCCGTTTGCCCCTTAGGAGATGTGTTGGTCACAGATGTTTACCTCAGTTTATGTCACTGTCGAAGAAAAAATAAATAGCAAAAAATTAATAACCGTAGACATAAAAACAAAAAAAATTAAAAAAAAGAAAAATCTCCCCTCGAGACTTCTGTGAAGGTACAATGTGTATGTGTGTGTGTGTGTGTGTGTGCGTGTGTGTGCGTGTCTGTGTCCCACCCCAGGCAGGCCGGGTCATTCCCGACCTGTGTCCCTGCCCCTGTGCCCCTCACACTGCCCCTGTCCTTCGGTGCTTCCCAGAGGCCCCTCTGAGCTGGCCTGTGGGGTGTGGGGAGCCCCTCCAGGCAGGAGGCAGGGTCACAGGTCTAGCTGTAGAGGGTCTCCCACCAGGCCCCACTAAGCAGAGCCCCAAGGCCACCCGATGCTCCTGAGCCCACGCTGTGGCCAGTGGGACAGTCCTGGTGGCTGGCATCAGCGTCCAAGCCTGGCCTAGGGTCCGGGGCAGGGTCCTGGGTGAAATTCCAGCCCTGGAACCCCAGACCCTCATGTCTTGCCACCCTCTCCCCCATGTGTTTGTAAATACTCTGGCATCCTTTGGCCCTGAGAAGGTTTTTAAATGTGTTATTTACTTCTCTAATCACAACAATTGCTATAAAATAAACGAAAATTTAGAAAAATGACCCTGGGTGGCTGTCTTGTCTGGGCTACGTGGGAGGAGGGCGCATATGCGGAGTCACTCTGGAACTTTACACATGGCCTCTAAGGGGATCTGCAGAGGCTGAGGACAGTTACTCCGGGCCTCCTAGATGTCTCAGGCCTAGAGACGCCTGGGTTCTGGGGGGAAGGGTGGGAAATTGTCCTTGGCCTGGAGCCCTCAAGACTGGGTGGGAAACGGAGGTCACCAAGCCAGTATTTCCTGTGCGCCTTCTGGTGTCAGGCTTCCTGCCACGGGCTGAGGATACAGCAGTGAGCAAACATATGACCCCTGTAAACAGCTTGCGACCTAAAGGTGGAGACAGACATCCAAATCTAAGGCTGGGAGCTGGGAAAGTATACAACCGAGAAGCTCATCAAATTTGGAGGGGTCAGGGAAGGCTCCCTGAAGAAGGAGACCTGGAGGATTCGTCCTCTGGGCATCAGGGAGGGAAGAAACTGAACTGCAGCGGGTGCAGACCCAGAGGCAAAAGCCAAAGGGGGAAGTGCTAGAGCAGGAAGGAGTGGTGCTGGATGCAGGGAGTCTCCATGAGTCAACAGTCATTCAGCCAATAAATATTTACCTCCTGTGTGTCAACTGAACAACTGGCTCTCCCTTCAAATGTAGATATATCCAGAATCTGGCCACTGCCTACCACCTGCATTGCACCTCCCGGATCCAATCATCCCTAGACTATTACAGTAGTCTCCCCGTTGGCTCCCAGCTCCTCTCCTGACCCTCTTCTGTCTATTCTCAGTCCAGCAGACAGAATGATTCCTTAATAGACGAGATCTGTCATTCTGTTCAAAACACAACAATAACTCTCTATCCCACCCAAAATCAAAGCCGAAGCCCTTACAATGGCCTCCGTGGTCCTTCCAGCCTCATCCTCTAGTCTCTCCCTGTGCTTTCTGCCAGCCACATTGGCCTCTTGCTGCTCCCAGGACACAGCAGGCACGCTCGCACTGCTGGGCACTGACCCTTGCCTTGGAAATCTCCCAGATCTCTCTCCCTTCAGGTCCCTGCTTAAGCGTCAAGGGACCAGAGAAAATGTGTGAGTCCCTTGCATGGAGTAGAGGCGCCCCAAGCTCTTCTCCCCTCCTCCGCCTCATTATACGCTGAGCAGCATATACGTGTTTGTTAGCCCTCTCCCCTCGCAGGTTCCGTGCAGCAGACAGTGTCTGTCAAACTGCCCCCCTCACCGCAAGTCTGGCACAGGGCCTGGCACGTGCTAGGCACTCCATAACTATTTGTCGAATTAATGAATGAATGTCCAATACTATCTTAGGGGCAATAAAGCAATAAACAAGACAAACAATCCCTACCCCGTGAAGCTTACTTTCCAAAGAGAAAAACCGACTTTACATAGGTTACATCATTGTCTATGAAATAGGAGTGAGGAGGACAGAGGAAAAGGGAGAGATGAGAAAACAAACAAAAAAACACCCTGACGGATCAAAGGGAAAAGTACTCCTCAAAAATCTGATCCAGGGTATGCTGGTGGCGGTGCCGTTGAGTCGGTTCCAACTCACAGCGACCCTACAGGACAGAGGAGAACTGCCCTATAGGGTTTCCAAGGAGTGGCTGGGGGATTCGAACTGCCAACCTTTTGGTTAGCAGCCTTAGCTCTTAACCACTGCGTCACCAGGGCTCCTAACATATGTTAAATATGTTTCTAGCCCCATCATTTCAAAACTTCTGCCACCTTGCTGCAACAATAAGGGTGGATACCTGGGACAATATTCCTTTTACCTTACAATGGACTGTTAGAGAGTGGAGGAAAAATCTACAAATGCACCCAGTACTATCTGGTTCCCTGGCTTCCTGTACAAATAACATCACCTCTTCATAACTACCAACATGTCAGGAAATTCCAGGACTCTCCACTAGAGGGCCGTGGCTTTCTGCCTTTCTGCCGCTCCACCACTGCCTCTCGAGGTCCTGCAGTCTCCGTCATTCTCCAAGATGGTGCCACACCAAGGTGGCTAGACCAGAAGGAGTTCTAGCCTCACCACACAGTGCACAGACACCACATCAAGGCCTGTAACCCCTTAGGTCCTTGAATTTAGCCTGGATCACCTCCTCTTGCTCATGGTGAGTGCACTTCTCGAAGATCCTTGGTGTCCTTTCCTGCCCATAGTCTCCAGTCTGGACCATCTCAGTTCATCAACAAAGTTCTAATAACATTGAACTTCAGAAAGGAAGGGGATTGTATTCTTGCTTCCTTTTGTCCCAGGATACTTCTTAGCTCTACGCAAATTTTCCCAACTCCTCACCAGGGACAGCTAAGCATGCCAAGGCAAGCGGTACTGGCAAGGGCAGCCTCAAAGCTTCCATTATACTTTTCATGCCAGTAAATAGATGCCTGATCATCATTGATGAAGAGAATTCCCAAACAGCAACTCTCTCAAAAATGTAAAGACATACCCACTGCTCTAGGGCCTGGTTTGGGGAGGAAATGTGGGTGTAAGAAAAGTAACTTGGAGGTATTTACTGGCAACCGAAGGAGGGGTAATGCTCACCACCCAGCCTTTGGTTAATGGACCTTTGGGGCAATGAAGGAATTCAGGGGTTTCCGTTTGGGGGCATAGAAGGGCAGAAAGAAGACAGTGCTCCAGAGGCCAAGAGCATACAGGGACAGTCGAGAAGTAGGCTGGGAATGGCCAGATGTGGGAGATAGTGAGCCCCATCTTGGGAATCCTCAGAGAGATCGTAGTGGGGCCTTGATTTTCCTTAGTACATGGCTCAAGTCATTCTATTTAGATATTAAAGGAAAATGGTAGAAGGTAGAGGATTCGAAGTCATAGTCAATTACAATTGTGGAAGGACAACAGCATGCTAAGAATAATATAAGAGGTAGTGGACTTCTGAGCACTTAGTATGTTTCAAGCATTATACTGAGCACCTTACATGCATTTACTCATTCAGTCCTTCCAAAAAACCAAACTCGTTATCGTGGAGTTGATTCCAACTCATAGCAACCCTATAACACAGGGTAGAACTGCCCTATAGGTTTCCAAGGATGCAGTCTTTACAGAAGCAGAATGCTACATCTTTCTCCTGTGGAGCAGCTGGTGGGTCCCAACCACTGACCTTTCAATAAGCAGCACTTAACCACTGTACCACCAAAAGAAAAAAAAAAAACCATTGCCGTCAAGTCAATTCTGACTCATAACGACCCTATAAGACAGAGTAGGACTGCCCCATAGGGCAGTAAAATTTTGCTGAAGATCATTTGAAAGCAGCCACAGCAGTCTATCAACAGGGAACTGCCAGAAACTCAAGCTGGATTCAGAAGAGGTTGTGGAATGAGGGATATCATTGCTGATGTCAGATGGATCCTGGCTGAAAGCAGAGAATACCAGAAAGATATTTACCTGTGTTTTATTGACTATGCAAAGGCATTCGACTGTGTGGATCCTAACAAATTATAGATAACATTTCGAAGAATGGGAATTCCAGAACACTTAATTGTGCTCATGAGGAACCTGTACATAGATCAAGAAGCAGTTGTTCAGACAGAACAAGCGGATACTGTGTGGTTTAAAGTCAGGAAAGGTGTGCGCCAGGGTTGTATTTTTCACCATATGTATTCAATCTGTATGCTGAGCAAAAAAATCTAAGAAGCTGGACTGTATGAAGAAGAACACGGCATCAAGACGGGAGGAAGACTCATTAAGAACCTGCACTGTGCCGATGACACAACCTTGCTTGCTGAAAGTGAAGAGGACTTGAAGCACTTACTGATGAAGATCAAAGACTACAGCCTTCAGTATGGATTATACCTCAGCATAAAGAAAACAAAAATTCTCACAACTGGACCAATAAGCAACATCATGATAAACAGTGAAAAGACTGAAGTTGTCAAGGATTTCATTTTACTTGGATCCACAATCAGCACCCATGGAAGCAGCAGTCAAGAAATCAAAAGACACATTGTGTTGGGCAAATCTGCTGTGAAAGACCTCTTTAAAGTGTTGAAAAGCAAAGATGTCACCTTGAAAACTAAGGTGCACCTGACCCAAGCC